AAAGAATGAAATGAACACATGGGGAATCACCATTTATCACATGTGGTAGAAAAGGTTTGTGAACGAGAATTTTGCCACGTTATTTCACAACACAGTGTTTACAATTGTGTTCATGCAGAATGACAAAGACTATCTGGTCTGATAACAAAGTTAAATTGCTATGTCTATGCATCTCAATTCTAACCAATAAAGTGTCTTCATTGGGTGACTGATTCAGTATAAAGCTTCAATTTCTCCACAACATGCAGATCAGCAAGATTGATTTTAGGAGATACAGAGGCAAGTAGATATCTGGGAAATTGCTCACCCTGATCCACAGTGTGTGAAACACTATCCTGATTAATATGAGGCTCTTCTCAGACTGTCATTCACATTAGCCACTGGAGCGTAGGAATATTATCCTTAATTAAACATGGATTAATTGGCAGTATAGATTATATGTTAGACCACAAAACAAGGCTTAAGAAATTGAAAAGGAGGGACTTTTTTAATATTCTAAGAGGCCAGTTTTTCTCTCCTAGAAGTTTTACTGACACTGATAACTCTCCCTAAACAATGAGTGCTATCATGCATGCATTAATGTCAATTAGTAAAACCTTAAAATCTTGGAGTGGTGGCATAATCTCAGCAGCTGAGGAGGCTGAGGCAGGAGGATCACAAGTTCAAAGCCAGCCTCAGCAATTCAGCAAGGTCCTAAACAACTTAGCAAGACCCACTCTCTAAAAAAATTTGGGGACTGGGTATGTGGCTCAGTGATTAAAACCTTCTGCACTCAATCCCTCACCAAAAGAAAAGAAAAGAAAAGAAAAGAAAAACAGGCAAACAAACACACAAGCAAACAAAACATTAAATCCCTTCTGTTCATGGTGTATTTTTGAGTAATGTGGTCAGTAGACCTGGTTGACCATCTTCATAACTGAATTAATCTTCACAGAATGACTTTTAAAAAGTAAAAATGGAAAGAAGAAGAAATTTAACTCTCTAACTTGGAGCATTTTCTTTTTCTTTTTTTTTTCTTTTTAAACCTATAGATTAAATTACTAAAGAAATATTAAGTTAAGCTTTCTCTACATCCATGAGAAGATCAAAATCCACAGTCTTATCATGAAGCTGGTCATGAACACAATTCCTTTACTCATTCAAAACATTCATGAAATGAGATGAGCATCATTAATCTAAGTACATGAATGAAGACACGAATGGTGTGGCTCTAAAATGTGTACAACCAGAGATATGAAAAATTGTGCCATGTATGCATAGTATGAATTGAAATGCATTCTTATATCACATAGAACAAATTAGAATAAATTTTAAAAATAAAAATAATCATTAATGAGTGAGGTCAGCCTATTTATTGATTGGGTTATTTATTCTTTGGTGTTGGATTTTTTGGAGTTCTTTGTATATCCTGGAAATTAATCCACTATCTGATATGCATGTAGTAAAGGCATTCTCCCACCCCGTGGGCTGTCTCTTCACATTCATGATTATTTACTCTGCTTAGAAGAAGCTTTTTAGTCTGAATCAATCCCATTTATTGATTCTTGATTTTATTTCTTTTACTTTAGAAGTCTCATTAAGGAAGTCAAGACCTAATCTGACATAATAAAGATTTTTGCATAATTTTTCTTCTATTAGGTGCAGGGTCTCTTGCCTAATTCCTAGGTTCTTGATCCACTTTGAGTTGAGTTTTGTGCAGCATGAGAGAGAGTGGTTTAATTTCAATTTGATGCAAAATGATTTCCAGTTTTCCCTGAACCATTTGTTGAAGAGGCTATCTTTCCCCAGTGTATGTTTTCAGAACATTTGGATTCCCCACTTTTTTATCCCTCTATTTCTTCCTGTCTTCTCTCAGCTGAAGAAATACAGATCTTCATGTAATTAGAGTCTCAATTTTACAGGATAGAGAGAAAGAGGCAGTGAAAATATTTAACACTAATGGAGACATTGGGGCTGTAGGACTCCTTGTCCTATGGTTCATGGCCATGTGATTTACTTTGTCCCTCCAATGTATATCTGTTATTCAGTATTGCTCCTCCTACACTAGGCTTCCTTTCTAACTCTGTTTGTGACAACAGTCTGAG